CCACCGGCCGTGGGCGGCGCTCCGGGCCCCGGGCCCGCTGGACCCGGCGGACTGCACGCGGGCGCGCCGGCCGCCAGCCACGGCCTCTTCAGCCTGCCCGTGCCCTCGCTGCTTGGCTCAGTCGCCAGCCGCCTCTCCTCCGCCCCGTTGACAATGGCTGGTTCGCTAGCTGGGAATTTGCAAGAACTCTCCGCCCGATACCTGAGCTCCTCGGCCTTCGAGCCTTACTCCCGGACCAACAATAAAGAAGGGGCCGAGAAAAAAGCGCTGGACTGATTTTAAGTGTTTCCCTGTATTTATATTTATAGTATCTATTGTGATATTTATGGACTCACGCGCGTTAGGCCCCCAGGGCTCCTGCGCTGGGCTCCCGTCTCCCACCGTGCATCTGACCGCTGTCCTTTCCCACCAAGCTCTGATACTCATTTCATCTCATCTGGGCTATTTTTTTTCTACCTTTTCTCCGTGTCTCCCCCCTTCCCCCTTCTGAATCCAGGAGAGATCCAAAGAATTGGGGAAAATGCCCGAGTTAGTCAATCTGATGTCCCAACCAGTGCCCAGCCCTGGAGGGAAAAGACTGATTCTGAGTCCAAAGCACAGAACACCTGCTCTAGATCGGGCCGCTACTGCCACTGCTGATTGTTCCTATGAATATTTGAAAGAAGCAAGCTGCACACAGCCCCCAGGGGCTGAAAAGGCTTGCAGGTTTCTTTAGACCAAAAAGGAGGACGTTCTTTTCTCTTGCCAGAGAAACCAGGGCTTTGGGGAGCCCCTGGGCCCCACTTTGAGGACCTCTCGGGATAGTAGGTGTACACACAGCTTCCTGGAGGGACGAATCCTGCCGAGTTTCCTTGCTCCTCTTTAGGGAAACTCCAATTACAACCATCCCCGACCCCAGGAAACAAAGTAAACATCGTGGTAGGCAATGATGGTAATACATTTTATCTAATCAGCAATAAATAAGAGGGAAACAATAAAGTAAACATCGTGGTAGGCAATGATGGTAATACATTTTATCTAATCAGCAATAAATAAGAGAGTGATAACTACTACGTAAAACCTGATGAAGTGGAACCAGTTTTTAAATACTAATAATGGAATTTGGAAGGTGCCAGAAAATTCAGGATAGAGAGTGAGTCACAGGGCAATACCAAATTAAAGTTCTAGGTGTTGTGATTTTATACAGGAATTTACAAGGGAAAAGCAGAGGAAAAGCCAACGCCGCTGATAGAAAATTGACCATCTTTTCTCCGAGGCTGTTGGGGCGGGGGTCTGTCCACGGCCTGCCGCTCGTCCAGGAGAGAGCAGTGCGGCTCCCAGCAGTCGCCGGACGCTGGCACTTCGTTCTACCGTCTCCCACACGCGTGGCTCCGGGCAGAACTGCTGGGTTTGGAAAGGAATCAACGCTCATTGCCTTCTCTTCCGAACTCCCGGATTCACAAACCCTTTCAGCACGCAGGAAACGCCGGGATTTCAGACCAGTTCTTTGCAGAAGGGCAGGTAGGAACGCAGCTGGGGACAGCCGGGCAGTCCGGCCTCCTCTGCCCGTGGTCTCCGTGTGCAGATAGCTCCCTGCGTCATGGATAGGACAGACGTGCTCCCCGCTCCCCAGTCCCAGGATTTCAGTGGTCCCAAGTCACAACCCGGACCGCGACGCGGGCGCGGCCTCAACCCTTACCTCGCGCAGCCACGGCCACCCGCATTTTAACCAAAATCACAGCCCCAGACCGCGAGGTGCCGCAGTGTGTAGAATGTATTCGTCCATATTCGAAGCGAGCGCAAAACATTTTATTTTTAAATAGTAATTTTATTGTAAATTATTTACGTCGGAAGCTTTTTTCCCTTTTTCCTTTTCTTTTTTCTTTTTCTTTCTTTCTTTCTTTCTTTTTTTTTTTTTTTTAGGCAAATAGTGAAGAAAATAATGAACAATTCAAACTCGGGTAGGTGTCACTGAATCCTGGCTACTAACTTGTTCTGAATGTTTTGGATATTTGGATGTTTTGTATTTATGTGGTGAGAGTGAAAAATATATATCTATGATGATAAACGAGGTGTATTTTTGTCTTGTATTTGAAGGATTAAAAAACCAAAACAAAACAAAAAAGAAGAAAAAGAAGACCCAGAAAATGATGAGTCTCGGCGTGGGGACTCCTGGGGCAGAGGGTGGCAGCCCCCGCTGTGCGGGGCCCTGCGACTGGTACCGTGAGCGCCTGGGATGAGGTTTGGGGCGGATTTCGGATCCCAGAGAGGCGGAGATGCCTGGCGACGATGATTTATTTGTTCCACTTGCTTGAGTGTCTCGCTCTCGGTCTGTTTGTCCCTAGGGTGTCAGCCCTCAGACCCTCCCCCTCAATCTCCCACTACAAGTGTCTTGTTTATATAGGAACCTGTCTCCAGACACCCCAAAGTCCTTGCCTCCTGACGCTCGCAGTTTCTAGAGTTTTCTAGCCGCATCTGCATGCCGGCAGCATTTTGGATTTTGTGCTGTCACGGGGCCTGGAACAGGCAAGGTTTTCTTTCCATCTGATTTACAAGCCACTCTGTCATCAAAGAAAGTTTGAGGGAGCAAGAGAATGAAATAGATAGGAATTTCTACAAAGAGACCTTTCCCTCACCTCACTGCAGTACATAGGCGGTGGTGACGGGTGTAGACGTGGCAAACAGAAACCTGGGGCAACTGCGAGGGCTGGGCAGGCTGCTCCAGGACATGCTCTCCTAAGGCGCGTGCAGCCCTGGGCGCAGCAGAGCGCGCGGGCACAGGGGCCCTGGCCTCCTCTCGTGACGTCCGCACACCTGGGTGTTGCGGGGACCTGAAGTTCCCTTGTGTGCGCCATGTGAAGCTCCGGCATGTGCCAGGGCCCTCGACCGCCACTCGCGTACTGTGCGTGAACCTCCTGTTGGAGGCGTCCAAAACGAGGCGGCGGCGGAGTGTGGGCATCGGAGTCCCTGAGCTGAGTTGGGGCGCTACAGTTTGGGGTCCTCGCCTTGAGACAGGCGTTTTGCCGAGGTCAGAGCAGCCGCCCACACACAGTTCACTTTTGTTTCTCCAAGTCGCTACACACCCCTCAGCTTAGCTACTCCCGGTTCTTCCCCTCCCTGACCGCCGCCTCCCCTTCCTACTTTGTCTCTCTTGAGCTGCTTTCCCTTTCCTTTTTCTTTCCCTTTTCTTCTTTGCTCTTGTCCTGTAGACCCCTGCATTTCCTGTAAGGATCTTTCTCCCCCAGTGGGCTCTCTGTCTCCCTCCCCATTTCTTTCTGGTCCACTGCTTCTCTCTGTTTCTCTCTGTCTCTGTCCCTCTCTGTCTCTCTCTCTATGTCTCTCTCTCTCTCTCTCTCTCACACACACACACACACACACACACACACACACACTCTTTTAGATTCCTTCTATTTGGGTGGCCCCAATGCTGAGGCAGTGGGTGGCTCTGGCTGAAGTTTCACGGCTGGTGGCTGGGGCCATGAGGGGTGAGAAGGGCTGGAGAAGGTGGCATAATTTTATGGAACAAAAGAAAACACAAAACACTAACTCTGGGGTCCCCTACAAGCTCAGCCTCTTCTCCCAGGAGCCTTGGCCTGGGAAGTCACTAAGCAGATACCTCCTTCCAGACGCCCCCCCCTTTTCTCCTTTTTGCTTTCTTGTCCCTAAAGGGGGGGAAATACCAGTCACCCTCTCACCTCTCTGCTCTCACCTCCTTTCCCTCTCTGGCTTTGGGAAGAGCTGCCAGCCACTCAGGGAGTGCAATTGTTCTTAAAGAGCCTCTTCTGCACAGAAAAAGAATTACAATTTTAATTAAAAACATTTATAGACAATTTATTTAATTTTAGCCTGTCTTATTTTCCCACCTCCCCCAAGGGCATCCAGCAAAAGCTGCCTTGGTCCCTGGAGGCCTCTAGCCTTCAACTAAAGACTCACAGGCCAGAGAGGAGGCAAGTGGCCTCTGTGACAACAGCTGGTCCTGCCTAGGAGAAGGTGGAAGAACCTCCTGGGAGTCAGGGGGAACAGCTTGGGTGTGTGTGTGTAGGGGACTGCTGAAAGGTGTCTCATGCTCAGGTCTGCACAAAGCAATACCCAGGTGATTTCAGAGCAGTAAAGAAAAAGAAAGAAAACCTCTCACCAAACTCCCGTGAGTTTGGTGGTTGGGTTGGAGAAAGATGTGGGAAGTCATCTGGGGAGCTGAACTGGGACACACGATCACATCCACACTTGCACTTGGTCTAACCCTGAGCCAGAACTTACTCATAATAAGAAGCATTTAGGAGCCCTTTATAGTTTACAAAGAGCACTTCACATACACCATTCTTTTATTCCTCATGGGGGCTTTGGGAAGCCAGCCTCATCTTAGAGATCCACATACAGGATTGGAGCAAATGGCTTTCTCCAAGCCGCAAGGATAGTCAGAGCCACAAGACTGCATGCTCCCCCTAGGGCCAGGATTCTCTTCTTTCTCCCTCTCCTCCTCCATCTCTCCCCTCCCTTTTCCCTTCCCTCTCCCCCTCCCTCCCCTCTTCCCCCTTCCCCTTCCTCCTTCCTCCCTCCCTCTCTTATTTCTTCCCTCCCGCTCTTTCTCCCTCCCTCCCTCCCTTCTTCCCTCCTTTCTGTGCCCAGTGTCTAGCTCACGGTACCTGAACTCTTTAGCCTATTCGCATCCACATCTGCGGATTCCCATTTCTAGCCCTTGTTCTACTACACCAGCTGCTGAGGAATTACTTGGTGCCTTCAGCAAGAGGTCTGAATTTCTTCCTTCTTCCTGTCTTCTATCCTGCCAGTATCCCAACTCTTTCACACTACTTTCTTCTAAAATGACATTTTTGAACCCCTTGTCCTCTTTGGTCTTACATTTCTTTAAAAAATTTTTTTTAATTGAGGTGTAATGTCCACATGGTAAACTCCAATATTGTAAAGTACATGAAGCTTTAGTATACAAGTTGATGAATTTCATACACACATGTGCATGCACACATGAATAGTTTAAAAAAAAAATCCTTTTAACTTCTCCTCTTAGGCCATATAATGACACAGTGTCTTTCTCCTGTCTGTAAGAAATGGGGCCGGTCAGTTAGCTCAGTTGGTTAGAGCACAGTGTTGTAACACCAGGGTCAAGGGTTCAGATCCCCCTACTGGCTGCAAGCAACCCAGGAAAACAAAACAAAACAAAACACAGAAGAAATGGTGTCATACTGTTGTGCTGTCATTGCACGGAAAGCCTTTCCAGGAAGTCTTTCTGAGGTTTCTTGAAGGATTTAGAAATCATGTATCTCTTCCAACCCCCTGAAGTC